TGCTGGTCATCTTTACCAGCTCTATCTCCTCTCCTGCCACCCCGACCTAATTCATGATAAGCCCACCAACTGTTTAGTCGGGTGGCGGTCGTTAGGTCACCTATTTTGAATCGGGGATACTTCTGCGTTATCGGCCTTTGCAAACGGGGTCGGCATGAGACGTCTGTTCTCTTTTTTAGAACATGTGCCTTACTACGGAGTTCGGGGTTTCCTTTCAATCCACATCGAAAAATTTAGGCTTTCTCTACTGGGAGTCATCAAAGGAGGAATGGGCATACGCATACCCCTTTCCTATTTTGCTTTGCCGCCTATTAAGAGAGAGAGGTCTATGAACTTGTGCTTCAACTTTCACTGGCGGGCTTTCGTCATCCATATCCTCTGTTGCGGGCGTAGTCGACTTCTTGGGGGGTGTAGGCGGCATTTTCGGCCAAGACATTCAAATAGCTCTAGCTAGATTCTCAAGCTCTGATAAACCCACAACTGTTCCGAGAGTTACGAAGGAAGTTTCGAGCTCATATTGGTCATGGGTTTAGAACGGGAATTGAATTCTATGAGATTGATTCTCCTGTTGTTCCTCAGTAGCTCAGTGGTAGAGCCCAATCCGGAAACCGAAGGATTGAGGCTGACAACAAACATTGATTCATCTGTGCCAATGAGAAGGGGGCTTCACCTGGCCAGGTTGTCGAGGACACGTCTGAAGAGGAGGCGAGGCTCAGAGTGAGACGAGTCAGGGATCCAGAATGACTTCACTGAATGATCACCAAGAAAGAAAGACGCTTTACGCAATATTATAATTTCTAAAAAATATTATTAAACTGCATATTTTACCTCCTTAATAATAAATACACTATAAATTTTATCAATACTATAATTTAAAATTATTACTCCTTCATGAGTAAATACAAAATTATTTTTAAATAGCAAAATAATAGACGTATAATAATTTTGAGAGACATTGAACTAAGTCATGAAGATCTAGCAAGTAAAAATATAAATTTTGGCTATCTATTTTTTGAAAAAATATTCAAATGATATACATCTCATAATGTTCTCAATTAATAAATATGCAACATTATGCTTCGTTATTTGAGTTATCAAAATTTTCATATTTATATATATATGAAAGAACTTTAATTATTCAGTTGTTACGAAATTTTGAGAGTAAAAAGTACTAATTAGTGAATACGACACATGATTTGCATAAGAACTGTTGAGCGAGCCCAGGATGTTGAGCTTTATGCGTATTTTGGGCGCATAGTCGGGCGTTTCAGGGCGTAAGCCTCACAGAACTAAGCCCCACACATAAGTCTAAAGGCGTTTTGATAGTGCCCCACCTCAAAACGAGTCCCGAGGCGAGTTCCAAAAAATCCTTTTAAAATACTGATTTTAACTACCTATACAAAACCGTCTTTTCTAGAAATACAAAATAGCATTACCTACAATAGATGAAAAAATAAGTCACCCGCTCGACTCCTAGAGCGGTCTAGTGCAATGGGTTGTTTCTGTTTTTTTTAAATTATAAAAAAAATAGAAATTAATGATACAAGTAAAAGAGTAAAACCTACTTAGCAATCTTGAGATGACGAGGATGATTTGAATAAAAAAAGTGAAGACGGTGATGCACATTGATTTTCAATAATAGTTTGTTTGGCCAAGTTTCTCCAAGGTGAAAAGTATTTTTTTTTTTGAAAAAAAGTGTTTTTATTGAAAAAAAAAAGTATTTTTTTTCTTCTAAAGTTGAAGTGTTTGGCCAAGCTTTTAGAAGAAAAGAAAGTGCTTTTGAGTAGAAGCAGAAATAGTTTTGGAGAAGTAGAAAAAAGTAGTTTTTTCTAGGAAGCACTTTTTTGAGAAGCACTTTTGAAAAAATACACTTAGAAGCACTTTTTAAAAACTTGGCCAAACACTAATTACTGCTTAAAGTACTTTTCAAATTAATTAGTCAAATACAAACCGTTTCACACCAAAAGTACTTTTGAAAAAGACGCTTCTCAATTTTTTCACCATGGCCAAACATGATATAAGTTGGAATTAATGATTGGTTCCATTGGGAGTCAAACGGCGGAGCGTTTGAAATGGCGCTGATGCTATCTAAAGATTTCGAGTTAGAAATTATGTTCGTACAGTTCGGATTAGCTATGAGAATTTCGGTTTGAATTTTTTATTTTCGAATTGAATAAATGACCATCCAAATTCAATCCAAATAAGTTCAGATTGAATCGGATTTTTTAAGTTCGTTTTCGAATTAATCGGTTTGGATATTATGAATTTTCGGTTTTGAGTGTATAAGTTGAGATGTTTCTACTTTTTATAAAAATGAGTATTCAAATAAAGTACTCATGTTAAATTACCTAAAAAGTCTCTCATTCTTGTGCCAATCATCCATAAGATAATTAATACAGCTGATAAGAAGCAACACTTGTAAAATCATGTCCAAATAGAAAGTATTCTCACATTAACTTAGTAATTAATATCAAATTAAATATATGATATAATATCTAATGGGTAGGGTATTGAACTTATTACTATTGACATATAGATAATTGACTAAATATAAAGTATAAAAATATCGAATTTTCGGATATCCAAAAATCCGAAGTACCAAATCCAGTATCCAAAATTTAAAAATTAAATCCAAAATCCAAACCAAAAATCTAAAATTTTGGATTTCGGTTAGGATTTTGGATTTGCCCAAACTATACCCATCCCTACTTTGTACTCTCTCCATTTACTTCTACTTGTCCACTATACTAAAAATATATTTTTATTTTTACTTGTCCATTATACTAAATCAAGAGAAAGACAATTTTTTTTTCTTCCATATTTTACCCGTATCATTAACTACTCATTCTCCAAATCATTTCTCAAAACTTTTATAAATATTATCATTATTATGGATAAAATTGTAAAATACATATTTTATTTATTATTTCTTAAGGAGTGTGAAAAGTTCAAAGTGAACGGAGGAAATAGTACAATGGTAGTGTAGCTTTTGTTAATGGTACGACCGCAATCACCGTCATTTGCTTGAAATCTATTGCTCATATTAAGAAACCGAAGAAGAATTAGCCCAAATAGCCGCTTACATAATTGCTTAAATTAAAAACAGCCATCAAATATATAATATATGTATAATTCATGTATTGTATTTGTCTATGTATAATAAGTATATAATCTATGTTTACCGGCCAGAAAATATAATTTTCAGCGAAAGGCGGTGGCAAATTCAAATTTTTTAACTCATGGGTGCTTAGCTATTTTTCCTCTGAATTTGCTACTGAGGTTGGGTGCTTAGTGAATATATTTATATGTATTGCTAGTTTTTCTATGTAAATTATGTCGGGTTCCAAAGTAAATGGGTGCTTGGGCACCCATAACCTTAAACATAGATTCACCATGGGCAAAAGGGTGAACTCCCTTCTGCCCACCTAACTCCGTTCCTTGATGATATTCTACTTCCACGTATTAAAATTATGAATCCGCAAAATTTGTCCTACAAGTGAAAGGAGAGGGGTGTTTACATGGAAAATATATAGGTAAAATACATAAAGACCCCATTAAATTTGTCCAAAAAATAGGTTTGAACACTTAAGCTAAACAGGTGATTATTTATCCCCCTAAATTTATTTGGAGTGAATTATTTCCCTCCTTGAAATACTAATACCAGTCTCACAATATGAGGTGTTTTACACATATACGCCACGTCAAAACCACGTTAGCATCAGCGCCACGTCAGAAATCTTTTATTTTTGGTATTTCCTATTTTCCTGTTTTCTTGCTCATAGTTTACACTAATAATTTTAATTAACCATTAAGATTTGTTTCATCTCTCAGTCACCAGAGAGACAAGAGAGCACCAAGGGAGAACAAAGATTTGTTTTTTTTTGTTGGTTCAATAGTATCTCATGAAAGATTCACCATTGTTCCCTTTTAGCTTTATTTTTAGCAAATCTATTACCCTTCTCCGCCCAAAGAACCCACTTACCTCTTTGTTCATGTTGGATTATTCTACGTGCAATTGTATTTGCAAAGTCTTGGGTTGTGATCAATTCTCAAGAAAAATACTGTATATTCCGGCGAAAATGAGCTTTTAATTGAGGTGAACTGTTGTTGGGATGATTTTATTAGTTTTTGGGGAATCTTTTGGGGAAGAAAAATAATAATATTCTATCTTCTATAAATGGAAAGATATTAAAGAAAAGAAGTAGGAAAACAACAAGAAGAAGAAACTGATCTGAAGAAGAAACGGGGAGAAGGAGAAAGAAGGGGGTGGTTGAAGAGATCGGAAGAAGAGAAAGAAAGGGGCCCACTTTTTTATATTTTCTTTATGTCACGCGTTTAATTATTTTTTTCTTTTTATTTTTTTGTCACATAAGCTATTAAGGTGGAATAAAATTTCACTCACAATGTATTTAGGGGGTTAAAACTTAAAAATTACCAGTTTAATTTAGGTGTTCAAACCTTTTTTTTAGGACAAGTTTAATGAGATCTTTATGTATTTTGCCAAATATATACTTTAGTTTTGGACTCGGTCCATGCATCACATGACGTGTGTCTTTTACTTTTTGGCTTTTCATTTAATCATAGTTAAGTGATACAATATATATTTTACTTCAATTTATCACTCAATAGTAAATTAATCAGAGCCTTCAAGCGTTAGCATTGCACTACAGCCTGGAGAGAACTATTTCTTGAAGACTATATATGTTTTGCAGAAAAAGAAATAAAGAAAGAAAAACTCTACGTTGATTAGCTCAACCCTACCTCATATACAATAAGCCTGTGGCAAAATGCCAGGGCTCATTTATGATATACAGCCTTCCATTGGAAGATAAATCATACTTTAAAGGGAGAGGTAAAACACCTGTTCTCTTTAAGGTTGTTTTCTTATTTTCAAAGATTGTCTATGTAAAAGACTTGAAGTAAAATCAAAGAAGGATTTGGACCACTTCTATTAATATCCCAACTATAAATACATTCTTAATTTAGCTCCTTACATTCGTCAAAATTGCAAATTACCAGGATGAAGTTTTCATCGATATCTCCAACAATCCTTCTCTTCTTGATATGGCACTTCATTACATCAGGTATTTAAGATAACTCAAATGTAGTTGCTGTTTTAAAATTTCTTTTTTCCCCTTGAATCTTTTCTTTAATTCATTTTAATTTATCCATATCTCCAGCCATCCTTTGACGGTTGAAAATGCTACAAATGGCTCTCTTTTTTTCAAAGCTTAAGCAGGCATTTGCACAATATTTGGTTGAATAAAAAAAAGTATTTAAATTTAGAAGTTGAAAAAGAGTACTAGAAAATTGATGTTTGGACATGAATTTCATTGAAAAAAATAAAATGAAAAAGTAAAAATTGAACATTTATGACAATTTATTATTTAGCTTAAATACTCCCAAATATTTTTTTTAATATTTTACCTGTATTTTGAATTGGATTTAAGCTATATAAACTGGCATAGAATGCAAAAGCTTTTTACTAGGTTAATATAGTTGACATATTACAGTATAGTTATCAAGTTATCAATTAATGCTTATTATTGAAATTTACCTATAGTTATCTTATAAATGATCTCATTTTATGAATAGATGTATATGGACGAAACATAAACTCTTTCAAATACTTACTAAAGTTTAGTATTTATAAAACTTGGTATAATTTTTATATAGGTAAACTCGGAGAGGTGGAGGCATGCACCATCTACATCAATAACAAATGCCCCTTTCCTATATGGCCAGCAACAGCTCCAAATGCAGGCCATCCAGTTATAGCAAACGGCAGCTTCTACCTTCCGCCAGGCCGAATTCGCAGAATCGGTGCCCCAGGGGATTGGAGCGGACGCATTTGGGCTCGAACTGGTTGCAATTTCGACGATCCCACCAATCACAAACCTGCCTGTGAAACTGGCGATTGTGACGGAAAACTCGAATGTGAAGGAACCATAGGCCTTCCTCCAGTTACACTAGTAGAAATGTCTATACAATTTGACAAAAGACAACCAAGTTTCTATGATGTGAGCTTAGTTGACGGATATAACCTCCCTGTTTCTGTAACATCAAAACCTTCAGCATCAAAGTGCGTCATTGGAAGTTGCTCGAGAAACTTGAATGCCATGTGCCCATCAGAGCTTCAGGTTTGTTGAATTGTATAACCATCTCATCTAAATACTTAAATTATCAGGGAAGTACACTTTAAGACGCATAGTTTTATGTTTTTGACAGGTTATAAATGATGAAGGACAAGTGGTGGCGTGTAAAAGTGCTTGCTTGGCATTCAATCTCGACTCATTTTGTTGCAGGAACAAATATGGGAGCCCCGACAAATGCAAGCCAAGTGTGTACTCGAGTTTGTTCAAGAAATCTTGTCCCTCTTACGTTACTTATGCTTTTGACACACCTTCACCTGTGGTTGGCTGTTCATCCGATCAATTTGTCATAACTTTCTGTCCAGATAAATGGGGCACCGAACAATATTCGTCTACTTGATTGAATTGTTCCTCCTCGTTTTACTATTGCGGCTTCTCCCTTATACAATCAGCAATCATGTTAATCTTTAGTTAGATGTAATAGTGTCATCTTGTACACAAAATAATCTTGAGTCTACATTCTGATCAACTCCTTAGTAAATTATAGCAGCATGGCTAGAGTGGGTTACTATTTACTAGGTTCCCCACCGGCCATAGTGCTTTATTTTCATCAATAAGATAAATGAATACAACCTTCTATTCTTTTTTTCCTTATAATTTCTATTGTGCAGTGAAAGATAATATCAACATGAATGTCAAGGCTTCATTTAACACAAAACAATATCACTATAGAATATAGTTACCGAGTTCCTGATAAACTAATAAAACAGATACGCCAACTTTGTTTAGGTTAGGCTTCAAAACTGTAAAATGAAATTGTAAAGTGACCAGATTTTATTTAATTGTATTGAAAATGAGGACGGGTATCAAACAGTAGTTATCTTTATACAAAGTCTTACTAAATACATATTAGGTTATTTCAAGAGAAAATTTTATATAAAGTTATCATCACTCTATGATTCATCAAAAATTTAACTGAATAAAGTTTATGACAACCTTCAAACAATTAATTTCTCATATGATCTTATGCTTGGCTTTGTAAATTACTGAAATCTGCCACTACTAGAAATACGCTAAAAATCGATCAAAAAAACCAATAAAAGTTGGTCGGTTATGGCCAATTACCGATCAAAACGCGACCATTAGGGTGTGGACGGTGTTTTGATGGTCGGAATGGCTTACCGACCAAAGTTGGTCGGAAATTACCGACCAACATTGGTCGGTAGCTTAAAACGACCATCTGACAAGTTTACGTACTTACCGACCAACTTTGGTCGGAAACATATTTTATTAATTTAATTTTACTGACCAAAGTTGGTCGGAAATTACCGACCAACATTGGTCGGTAGCTTAAAACCACCATCTGACAAGTTTACGTACTTACCGACCAACTTTGGTCGGAAACATATTTTATTAATTTAATTTTACCGACCAAAGTTGGTCGGTTTAACTAACTTATATTTCTTTATTAATTATTAAAATTAAAAAAAACCGACCAACTTTGGTCGGTAACTGAATATATATATATATATATATATATATATATATATTTTTAAAATAATTAAAATAAAACATTACCGACCAACTATGTTCGGTAACCTCAACAGTGCAGGCAAAATACCAACCAAAGTTGGTCGGTAATGTTGAATTCAAGGAATTCAATGTTCATTAACCGACCAACTTTGGTCGGTATTTTGGAATAATTATTTTTTAATTAAAATCCGATCAACGTTGGTCGGTTTTTCTGGGTTTAATTTTGGCATAAAATGCCTGTTTTGACAGCTACACCACCTGCCAGCATACCAATAAACCTAATAATAACAACAACACAACAACAACAACTAAAACATTCAATAAATACTTTTAAACTAACAAATTAAAGTTCAATTGAACATAAAAATCCAAAACCAAGTTAAAACTAATTACAACTAGTTCAAAACTTGTTCTATTTGTCTATTTCAAAGTATATAAAAGTCAAGGGGTATTTTCTACAACATCATCACTACCGTCTGATGAACTTTCATTTACAAGACGGTATAGAGAACGGACTTATGGAGGACGGGAAGAACGATCACTGAGAGGACGGGAGGAACGATCACGAGCAGGACGGGAGGAACGATCACGTGGAGGTCGACCCTCTGGAGATGACTCACGAGACCAGGGCAACGGAAAAGCTCCACTCGATAGGAGAGTTCTGATCTGAGCTTGCATGCCAAGGAATTGAGCATCTCTAAGCCTTTCTCTTTCCTTGGCCTCTTCTAGCTCGGATGTGAGCTTTGTCACTGTCTCCCGCATAGCGGAGAGGCTCTCCCTATTAAGTTGCTCGCCTTGCGAGGAAGTCTCTATTCCTTGCATTCCACACTTATAGCGATGGAAGAATTTAGTAGGAAGCCCGTATACCTTCCCCCATTTTAGACCGCCAACAGAATCCAACCATATTCTTTCAGCATCCTCGTCCGAAGGTTGGGTTGGCTCACCCGATTCACCAGCTGGATGACTACGGATGAATTCCTCCACGTTACTTTGGTAGCGACCCTATATTATTTTAAATTAAATCAGTATTTCAAATTTTTTATAAAAGTAAATTATAATACTTAAAGAAAATTGAAAGCTTACATATTCAGTCGAGGCCCGGTCCTCGATCCACTTATATTGATCCCCCTCTTTCTTCTTCTTCTTCAAAATATGCGTCTCCTTGAATAGCTCATCATGACTCATTAGACGCCCATACTTCTTTTCCTGAAAATAAATTAATTTAGTTAATAAACAGAATAGATATACTTAGAAAAGTAAAATAATTTAAGCAATTACGTACCAGTGTGCAAGGAGCCTCCCTTCTCGGATGTGCGAGCTTTTTTTCCTTTTTCGCTCCTCTCTAAGAACTCCGCGGTAAGCCATTGCCTTTGCAAATTATTCCACAAATTCTCAAGTAACCATCCAGGCCTCTTGTTCTTCTTTCTAGCATTCGAGAAAGCATCCGCCAATCTCTTGCGAGCTTTATGATAAAAATTTGCAGCCACTTCCGCGCTATAGAGGTCTTCCCATACACACTTGCTCTGCATTTCAAAATTTAATTATTAGATGAAAATATCATAAATATAAATTATTAAACTATTTAAAAGAATATTTATACCTTAAATTGATTGAAAATTTGCTCCTCAGCGAGAATGGGCAATCAGTCCAAGTCGCATAAGGGCCATCATAAAGCTTTCTGATGGCATTGGTGATTATCTTCGTAGTCTTATTACCTAGCCTGAACCTGCAATTTAACAATAAAAATACATTAATATCTTAGTAAAAATGTTACAAATTAATAGACGCAAAAATAATGAATAACACTTACCCATCACCCTCAGGTACTATAATGATCATGCCATATCGATCATAATGCACTACCTCGTCATCAGCATCCGAAGCATGTGTATCAGAGGCATGTGTAGATGGTGCAGGCGGGTCAGAGCTACTGCCTCGCAGGCGAAGACCTGCAATAGATGGAGTCGATGATAAAGATGGTTGCGATCCTTGTGACTGCGACATAGCTGGATGCGACCCAAGTGGCTGTGATACTGATGGTTGTGACCCAAATAGCTGTGATCCGAGTGGTTGTGACATGGATAGATGTGATCCATGTGGCTATGAGGATGCTGGACTGTATGTCAGACGTATAGTCCTATGGCCCTGTGATGGAAGACCAGGTGTCTGAATGAAGGTGTATGGCTCGTGATGCTGTGTCAGCTCAGTATAGACGTGTGGTGGAGGATAATACATAGGCATCTCTGAAAAGGGTGGACAAGAGGGACTATTATTTTCTACCCTCCTCTTTCCCTTCCTACCCTTTTCTCGACCCCGAGAACTAGTAGGGTCATTGTTACCTTGACCCTTGCCTTCCATCTGCATAATATAATACACATTTAGATTGAAACATATAAGAAACTAGCTATAAAACGAGAGTGCTTTAAAAAACTAACTTTTTAATCATCATCGACGTATTGTTCCTCGTCCGAGAATTCTTCGTCCTCACTTGTTTGAGCTTCATCGGTTGATTATTCATCCTCATTTTCTATAATTGTTACTTCATTTATATCAACTTCTTCCAATGTGCGTTCAGGATGTTCCAAATCATTTTCTAACTTATCGTCCACTATTTGGTGAACACTGGAGATATCGTTTTGATATGCAACATCTAATACATTCTCGACTTCCACCCTGCCTACAGGCTTAGTTTTTATTACAGCCCACTAATCGGACTTATTTCGCTGCAATTGATAGGGAGTATAATACACTTGCCTAACGTTATGTGCAATTATGAAGGGATCATAGCGATCATACTCCCTCGTATGATTAACCTCAATTATGTTGTATTGGTGGTGTACTCTTGTACCTCTTGTTGGATTTGGGTCAAACCACTTGCATCTAAAGAGTATCAATTTCTTATATGGCCAACCTGTATATTCTAGTTGTAATATTTCTTTGACCACACCATAATAATCAATATCTCCAACTTGGTTGCCATCACCACCTTGAACCCACACCCCGCTGTTGTTGCTATTTTTATTTTTAGAGCAATCCTCTGTATGAAACTTATAACCATTCACTACGTACTTAGACATTGTTGTGACCTGAAGCCCAGGTCCCCAAGATATATCTTTCAAAAATTGATTTACAACATTATTTGGTTTATTTACCTACAAAGTGTTAACAAAATTCATAAGTTAGCACAACTTATGAATCAATTTTTATACATTTACTACGTATATATATATATATACTTACAAACTATTTGAACCACGTATCAAATCTCGTATATACAGCATCATGGCCAAATTGACCCACGAAGTGACTGTGACACATCAAATATTTTTAGTAGTTGCATCAATAAGTAGTCACCGTAAATTTTACATTTTGATAACTAATAAATCAATACTTACTTGAGAAATGGTATAACTTCGAGATAATTTAGCAACACATGAAGTGTAGCTGACTTGTACTCCATATCACTCAAACTTCTTTTTCTAACATCCTTAGAACATCGGCCTGGTTGATTGAATATNACAAAGGGATACATCCATCTGCATTGAACAAGCCCTCCAAGTCGTGCCTCGTGTACAAGGTATATTGCAAGGTGTTCCATCACATCAAAGAAACCACATGGAAATATTTTTTCCATCTTACTAGAAATTACACGAATGTTCTGATCCATCCGAAGTAGGTTTTCTTCCCTTAATGTGGTAGAACACAAGTCTTTGAAAAACAAACTAATCTCTGTGATGGGTTTCCAGATTCTTTCAGGCAAACCACAAAATGCAATAGGCACTAAGGTCTCCATGAAAACATGGCAGTCATGACTTTTCAAATGGCTCAACTTCCCTACCTCCATATCTACTTTTTTTCCAAGATTCGACGCATAACCCTCATGCATCTTCTATTTCGTAACCCAATCACAAATTTATCGTCTTTCCTCCAAAGTGAATGTGTAACTTGCTTTGGGCTTGAACACCTTACCATTGTTTGCTGTTTGCAAGTATAATTCAGGCCGCCTGCAATATTCTTGTAAGTCCATTCTAGCTTTCGGGTTATCTTTTGTATTACCTTTAACATCCATCACTGTGTTTAAAAAATTGTCAAAATAAGTTTTCTCAATACGCATGACATCAAGG